TCCTACTCTTATTTACAATGTTCAATCCCGTCGCAATACTCTCACAGATCTCATTCTTCCACATGTTCTCAACCCAATCGAGGATAACTGCGAATTTACCGATTTTCTGGCTCACTACAATGTCACGTTGACTCGCATTCGCCATGTGTTAGCTACTGCTACAGCAGCCACGTCTCTCGCATTCGTTCATTTGCAGTGTATGATCAACACGGTTCGGACTCGATTCGATATTCCATCTGTTCCATCTTCTAGGCCAGAGGAAGAAACTTCTACCGTCACGCAGTTCCTAGGTCAAACTGTACGTGGTTTCAAAGTCGACTCAGTTGCTCAACTTCTCGAACAGGTCAATGTTAGTCCTCCGGCTACAACCGCCTCGGACCAAGTTCCCACGTCGACAATCTCAACACCCACTACCACGTCACCCTCAGTTGTAGACTCCTCTATTCAAGTTCCATCCGATCAGTCTACACCTGTGAAGGAATCTGCACCTGCTTCTCGTGGTCGTCAGCTCAAAGAAGAACAAGACGAGCCATCGACGTCAGATAGAAATCGTTCGTCGTCACGTCGTCGAGCAAGATCAGCTTCTAGGTCGCGCTCACGTTCAACATCCACTGTCAGACGCACATTTCCATCTCGTCGTAATCTCGAAGCTCGCATGGATAGTCCTCGAAGACACCCTTCTTCTCGTTCATCCTCTGTAGAGCATGATCGTATGCTACAGCGTGTTGCACAGGATCCTCCGCCGACACTCCGCTGTCACTTCTGCTCTAAGAACCATTATACAGCCAGTTGTGACGCAGTTATTAGTCTTACACAGCGTTGTCTTACCGCCGTACAATCCGGACGCTGTCTCCGTTGTCTGTATCAACATCCTCCAGACAAGTGTCGTCGTGTAGAACCCTGCCGTATCTGTCAGGACCCTATCCATCATGCAGCACTTTGCCCTCAGAGTACTCGTGTACTTCAGGACATAAATATAGATCCTAAGCCGTTCTTCGAATCCATGCAGCATATGTACCACGCCTACTACCACTACACAAGCAGGAGGTAAGAACTTTCTCATCATCACTTTCCATTTACACATTTACTTTCCTATTTAGTTTCCTTCTTAGTTTAGTACTTTTCCTTACAGTTTTAGCCACTTTTAATTTCCTTCTCAGCTCAATAGTTTATAGTTCCTTTTCCATTTTAGTAGTTCATAGCTTTTTCGTTCTCTCTCTTTGCCAGGACCTTAAGTCCAGCATTAATAATCGTCCGTCCTACGTGTTCACTTATACTGTCAATGTTCGCTTTACATATTCGACCCCCTCACATCAGGGTCAGGCTACAAACTCGGGATTTCCCCCACAGTAGCGCCGAGAGATCGCTACACATGTACTGACTATTCGTTCACCATCCGGCACAGGGACTTTCGGGAGACAACACCCCCCGCAAATTCAGTCAGCGAGTCTAAAACATCTCTCACTCGCACGTTTGCAGTCCCAGGCGTAAACACACGCTCGTAGTATAGCCCCATTTCTCTCCGTCGTCACCATCAAGCCAAGCCGAACAAGTCAATCCGAACTCTGTCACCGTCATCGACAACTCGAGTTATAACGCGCTTGTGCTATGGAGAGCACTCAGTCAATGGAAGCGCTATCTACGTCAAGTTATCTACGTCGCCATGAAAGCCGTCCAGTCAGATCAGTCAGTTCAATGCAATCATCGTGTACATACCTTGTATATAGTTCTCTATTTACTCTCGTATTTACTCGTTATTCCATATTGGCCTCATTTATTCACTTACATGCGAAGTTGTGTATTTATTCCCGTGTGTATAATCTATCATCGTCCCCTCTTAACTGGAACTCCGTACTTAGGCCCTCTAACCTTGCGTTCAATATTCGGCACATATATTCCCGTTTCGCACCTTACTTCGCTTATATATAATTCGGCACTTTCTTTTCGCCGCCGGGAGTGTCGTGACTTCCGCCCACGACCCTCAGTAAGGTTGCTCCACGGTAAAGCTGGGAGGAGGCCGCGCCGCAGCATGCGTTCAAAGTTCGCGCCCTCGGGCAGAACATTCTAGCATACTCTGTCCATCTGTGCTCTAGCCGCGCGCCATCCTTGCTCCGTTAGTGTCATCGCTACGGTCGCCGTGGCCGGTCGGGCCACAGCCCTTAACCGCCTCACCACGATCGCATGTCACTCACGAAGCCTTTACTGCCGACGCCTATCTATCTAGCTATTCCATCATGCTTGGCGGACCAGCTTTCGGATATATGTTTCCTTATTATATATCTTAACTACGACTGTCAATATCGCATCACGCACAGGTTAGCCCTCTTGATATCTCTCTTAGCTTAGTAGATCAGGAGTTCCTCCAATAGTAATTCGTGTAGTTTTATAGTTGATTTACTTGCTTTCGTTTCCACCCTTGCTTAGTATTTAGTTAGTCATGGTTTACCATTTGCTTTGCTATTTGCCTTATACTCTTTATTCATTATTGCTTAGACTTGCTAGTAGAATCCATTTATTACCGTAGTTCAATCATTGCACATTTATCGTTCATTCATTGAAGTATTAGACTAGTAAAACAGTATACCCTTAACCTGTAGCTCACAGTCGCACGCTAAGTATATTCACGTCGTCGTCAACTATCTGGCAATAGTAAAGTCCTCAATTAGTTCGCCAGTCGTCTGTCGTCTTGGAGTCAACCAATCGATACGCCGTCTAGTTCTGCGTCAGTCAATCGATATGTGACCGCGTCGCAGACGCACGCGCCTAATAGGCCAGGGGAAGTCTAGGCCCTCGTCAGTTAGTAGCCGCGTGTCCGCAGGCCCAAGGACGTCTCGAGCATTCACAGCGCACATCTACTTTTCTTCCCCTCAGGGGTGCGCCGGGCACCCGGAATCCCGGATTTTCTTGTTGGCTCTCCTACACCGATGCAGACACGCCCACGAGCGAATTGAGAGTCACGACACATGCGACAATGGTTCTACAAATTTTGTTCTGGAGATTTCAGCCTTGAAGATGAACCTCGTAGCGCTCGACCTAAAGCAATACCTGACGAGGATTCGAAGGCGTTACTGTTGCGGATGGTCTGAAACGCATTGGGAAGGTGAAAAAACTCGACAAGTGGGTGCCCCACAATTTGAGTGACCGGCAGAAATTGGCACGTCTCGAGGTTTCTTCTTCACTGCTTTTGCGCAACAGAAACGACCCGTTTTTGGACCGAATTGTCACCTGTGATGAAAAATGGATCATGTATGATAACAGGAGACGTTTAGTGGTGGATGCCGACGAACCACCGAGGCAATTTCCAAAGCCGAATCCTCACGAAAAAGCGATTATGGTCGCAGTGTGCTTGTTGACATACTGAAGGGCTAGGAAGCTCGAAAAACCATTCGCAGTAAGACTCTACCCACCGCAATAGAAGTCGCGAGGTTTTAGCCTTGATTTATCGCGGACCGTGCCCTCCGAAAAAGAAGGGTTCAAAAGTACCTCTACTCATCGTAAATGATAGCTTAATAATGTTGTTTTATTCTATTGAACTCTATTGGGTTCAAAGCGTTATTGACCACAGAATACGCCGTGGTCAATTTGCTCCTGACCTCCATCGAATCTCGATAAAACGGGCGGGAATCGCCTGCTTGCCGCGCAACCGTCTTCAGTTCTAGTATTATATTATGAAACCTTCTAATTCTCTTTGGAGACCTTTTCGTGCTCCCATTCTTCCAATTCCATTTTAACTCCTGCATATAGTTCGTTTATTTCTTTTGTTTCTTCTTCACCTGCTGGATTTCACTCAGGTGTCTTCGTTACTATTTTCCCTACTTTTTTGTTTACTCCACCCCTTGTCTTGCTTATCAACCCCGCTTCATGTTGGTCCTATACCACGTTTGGCCTTATATGCCAAGCTCTTGGAGGGTAGCTTTGAGAAGTCTGTTTCAGACTTCAAGCTTCTGCAAGATGAAGAGAGCTCATGATTCCGTAAGCTCGAATACATTCGATTTCTATAGTAATTATCTTGATTACTTCTATATTCTTACTTAAAGACACTCCCCGCGATCAAGTGGTCCTCAAAATGACTTCGTGCTTTTTGGAACCCTCTACGCCTTGACGAAGATGATACCACTTTCATCCCTCAATATGGCGCGATAAGGAAGTTATAGCGATTTCCACAAGGCTCGCTAGGCTCGCTGACACGGTAGGTGGACGAGGCGTCCGGTCCCGAGCTGCTTCCGTCCCTTTAAAGTATCCTATTTCGAAAGTCGGGACGCAATTGCGGCTGCCGCATCGATTTCTGGCAGCCACGTCCGGCACACTCGTCCAGGCCCCGCCCCCACTGCTAAAGGGAGGTCTGTGTTCAGGATTTTAGCGAGGTTTTCTTTCGATTTTTTTTCTATTGGGGGTGACAAATGGGCCACTGCTTCGTGACTGAGACCAATTACCCGATCACTTGATCGCGATAATTGCCTTCAAAATATCGTCTCTGGGTTCTCACTGCGCAATCGCTTTTGCTGACGCAACCGAGGGAGTGGTATGCGTGCAAAAGTAGGGTCGGTGGATGCTGATGTGTTACGGTTGCGTAATTAGCTTTATTGAAGAGGAAAGAGCGATTTCAACAAGGTGCTGATACGCGACCAGCCGATAAGCAGTGCCCTTGAAGTGAAACTCGCTTCTGCAAAGCATTGCATACTGCTTCGCTTTTTATGCTGCTTAATACACCACTTAACCCTGAGACGTGGTATTTCAGCATAGCATAGAACGAGTTACTCGTGGGATATCTGAGTTCAAAGCAGCTTGCACGAGGCGCACACATCCCGAATATTTCACCACGGGGGAACATTCAGATTGCAACTAGGTAGAAAACCCAACTGTAATTAGACCTCCGTAGCATGCTGCTTACAATTCCTCAGAAGCTCCGCATCTGAAAGAATTATAAAATTCCGAATAGACTCCAGGACGGTCTTTTGGCTAACGACCGCGCTCCAGTGACAATTGCAGTGAAAGCGGCCAACGCGGTAGCAATCGTGAACCGGTCGCCGTGATCCCTTTTTCCAGTTATGCTTTTAGCCGTTTTCTTGTTGTTCTATGTAATTTTCTAATGTATTTTCTAGTTCAGCGGATTTTCCTGCCTGACTGTCACCTAGGCTAGCCTGT